AAAAAAAGGTGTACCACATAAATTGAGATGGAGAGAGTAATTTATGTTATTTTCTGAAAAAGGTTCTTCTTTGGGGTAGGATTGTTGATTTTTTGCTTATTGTGAATATGCTAATTTCGAACGATAAGCATTGTCTGTGGATTACAAAAAATCCAGCCAAAGTAACATGAAATAATTTTAGTTCTTGAAAAAAATATTGAGAAATCAATATCTGAGTGTTGGTTGCAAGTTCCTAACAACAGTTGCTCCCCATTATGCTTTGCCGATAGTAAAAGAAATGATCTTTTACCTGCTTTGGTATCTGATTATCTACTAAATGCTTAATAGAAATGTTCTGATTCTACTTGAAGTGCACAAAGTGCTCTGCAGAGATTACATATAAGACAGATAGAAAATTTTCTGACAGCAAAGAATGAGACAAAAATGAAAGCACAACCAATAATGAAGCAGATAGCAAATCTCTGAGGCTAGCAAATCTCTGAGGCAACAGCAGCACATTCATTCAACATAAGTAATAATTAAATTCATGATTAATAAAGATAATATGAAGTTGCATAGGTAGAGTCATTTCACCAGATCACATATCAACAGCAGCACATTCATTCGACATAAGTACAAAATATACAATTGCATAGCTAAAGGCATTTCAGTAAAAGCAATCAGAGATTCTTTTCTTTCTTAACGACTCTGCGAACCTTGTTGCTAGAGAGTTGAGAATTGAAGTCGTCATCTGGTCCTACTGCTGATGCCTTATTAGCGGATCTAGTCTTCTTGTCATACGTCTTCAAAGGAGATATTTTTGCATTGCAAGCATCACCATCTTCTAACACGGACGATCCACTTTCTGATACGCTTTTCTCGATGGGAGTTTGCAAAACAGACTTCAGCTGAGTTTCGGCCATAAGATCCTTCCAAAAATAAAAACATTTAATAGCAGTTGGAGAGCAATACTGTTGCTAGTTGCATAATTTTGACTCATAATTGTTAACTAAATAAATAATGATGTAAAAGTTTAAATTTCATAAAATTTACCCCGAAAAGCTTATCTCCACTTGAGCTTTGTCCATCAAAAAACTGTGGATCCTGTTAAACAGAAAGAAAAAAGAACATTCATTCATCCTATGAATGCAAAATTATTTATACCTAAATTTTGTATGAGGAGGTTTGTGAGTAAAAAATGTTTACAGTGATAGTATCATCGAATAAACTGTGATTGTATTCCTTTAGAAGGTCATCATCATCAGTAAGCTTAAGAACTTTGTAGACTTCGACCTGTGACTCAATATTCTCTTGCTTAACAATAACCTTGAACATGAATTTTTTATAAAGAATATCGTCCAGTTCACTTGGATAAGAACAGTCAACATCCGCAATTGAAGTCTACACCAAATTTCATAGGTTAGAAATATATTGATAACTAAATTAAGTTTAGTATTATACCTCAAGTAATCTTTCCTTAAGTTCTTTTGTGGACTTCCCTATAAGCTGCATAGCTTCGCGATTCCAAAGCAACAATGAGATAAAAGCGGTTCC